GGGGGAGGGAGAAGAAGGAAGGAAGGAAGGAAGGAAGGAAGGAAGGAAGGAAGGGAGGGAGGGAGGGAGAGGAAGGAAGGAAGGGAGAGAGAGAGAGAGGGAGGGAGGGAGGGAGAAGAAGGAAGGAAGGAAGAAGGAAGGAAGGAAGGAAGGAAGGGAGAGAGAGGGAGGGAGGGAGGGAGAAGATGAAGGAAGGAAGGAAGGAAGGAAGGAAGGAAGGAAGGAAGGAAGGAAGGAAGAGGGAGGGAGGGAGGGAGGGAGGGAGGGAGAAGAAGGAAGGAAGGGGAAAGATAGATAGATGGGTGCAAAGAAGAGCTTGGACAACAATTTGTCTGGAATTCTACACAGTCTCCTGCCTGAGCAGGGGGTTGGACTAGAAGACCTCCAAGGTTCCTTCCAACCCTACGATTCTATGATCCATCTGCACCCATGTCACATATAACCGTCAGCCCAACCCAATCAACTGTGGGTGCTGGCAAGTCAGGCAGAGATTCCCCTCTGTGGCCCATAGGTGTCACTCTCTGAGCATGGATGCGCCTAGAAACCGGTCCCTCTTCCCAATATCGCCTCTCTCTCTCTCTCTCTCTCTTCCAGATGACACTCCCCCGCCTCCTGCACCCTTCGCCCATCGCATCGTCACACTGAGGACTGGAGACTTCAAAGATACTTACAAACTGAACACGAAGGAAATCCTGGGGGGGTAAGGCAGGAAGGAGGAGGCCTCTTTGGGACCAGCGGGTGGGATTGTCTGAGAAGAATTCACCGGTGGAAGGGCTTGCGCTGGCTGGGGAATTCTGGGAGTCCACAAGTCTTAAAGTCCCAAAGTTGGACATCCCTGGTATATTGTCTCCTGCGTGAGCAGGGGGTTGGGCTAGAAGACCTCCATGGTCCCTTCCAACCGCACTCTTCTACTCTTTACCTCCCTCCCTCCCTCTTTTCTTTCTTTCTTTCCCTCCCTCCCGCTCCTCCCTTCTTCTCTTCCTTCTTTTCTTCCTTCCATCTTTCTCTT